TTTTTGCGTCGGTCTCTCCCGGCCAGGCCCCCCCGCACCCCGTCCCCGGCGCCTGCCCCGCTCACCCTTGTAGAGCTGCGCCACGGCGGTGGCCGAGTTCTGGAAGAGGTGCCACAGCTTCTGCTGCTTGTGCTCAGGCTGCGCCGCCGCCTCGTCCTGCAGCTCCGGCGCCAGCGCCTCCTCCTGCTCGGCCTCGGCCAGGCACTGCCGCTCCCACTTGCTGAACCAGTGCTCGGGCCCATGCTCCTGGATCTCGGCCTCGCCCTCCTCCTTCTTATCCTCCATGCTGCGGCCGCGCCGCTCCCCCCGCTCCGCCACCTCGCGCAGGGCAGGCCTGGCCGGAACAGAGCCCGTTACGCGGCCGCGCTCCCCCCCCGGCCTGGCAGCGGGCCCGCGCCGCTCCTACCTCACCCCCATGCCCTACCTCGCCCCGTTGCGCTCCCCTCGCCGGCTCCCAGCGCACTGAGCGCCTGACGCCGCCCCAGCGCCTGTAAAGCCTCGGGGCGGGGGGGGGGGGCCTGGCGTCGAAAGTGCTGTCAAAGAAGCCCCGCCCCTTCCCTCTCTTACTGGCTGTTCTGCCCCAACCCCCGCCGGCCTGAGTGCCAGAGCGCGCCCGCACTGGGCAAGACGGCTGTCCGTCACCCAGACAATGTCACAAAGGGGGCGGGAAGAAGGACAAGATTGGTTACACCACCACTAGCTTCTGCGCAGGCGCGTTGTTCCTCTCGCACCGCCCTGAGCAGCGCAGTGAACTGGCGCCACCTCTCCGCCCCCCGCACCCCGTGGGACCGCCGTCGGCTCCTCAGCGTGCGGGCGGGGGCAGGGGGGATGAGGGCGACTCGCCCGCCGCTTTCCAGGAATTCCCGTCACGGGCAGTCTAGGGCTTCCCTCCCGCGGCCGCGGCGCCGCCTCCCCGCGCCGGCCCCGAGACTCGGCCTCGGCGTGCTTGGCCACGGCCGAGCTGGGCTGCGATCGCCCTGACAGCTGCCGCGGGGCAGTCTCCAGAGCCAGGGGAGAGCAAGTGGCGCTGAAATGTGGGCTCGGGCCTTGCTCCATGCAGCACTCAGCCAGGATCCTGGAAGAGTCTCCCCCCCCCTCTCCCCTTATTCTGCTTTCCCACAGCAGGGCCTGTCTTATCTCTGGGCCCGAGGCATGCTGGAAAACACCTGCGGTGCTGAATACTCTGGGCTGGATTTTGACTCCTTAAAAGCTGTCATGTCCTGGAGGCCAGTGCCCCTCCTCACTCCCCTTAGGAAGCCAGAAAAGAAAAGCCCTCTCTTTGAATTAGTTCAGAACAACTCATCTCATGAGTTTTAAGCCAAATCCATCCTGTTTTGGAGGCTGGCTCCTGATTTTCAAACCCTTGAGATTGCAAACTGCCTCGTGGCCATACCCCAATGAATATGGCTGCTAAAAGCTGCTCTGACGATGAGCATTGCCCAAGTGTGTGCATGTACCTGCAGATGAAACGGGTCACGCCATGGAGGTCGTGCCGATACGTGTGCGATATGCTCAGAATGATTAAGGTGCAAATGCATGATTTTGGAGGAAAAAGAGGTCTCTCCAAATAGATGTGTGTTTCCGAGCCTGCAGTTTTCAGTAATGAAGGGAGCCCCTGTAAATGTTGCTAGTCCATTTAGCACCCAAACAAAGTCTGTCTGTCTTAGTGTCTTCTGTAGCTAAATAATAAAGTCCACACCTCTTTCTCTGGAGAAATAGTCCCTGCCCACAAATTCTGTAAGACTTCCTTAAAGCAGGCGGTTGCTAAGCTACTAAAGGCAAGAGTCGTATACCTTCAGCGTGCTGGTACAGCACCTAACAAGGTGGGGTTCCTGTCCTGATTCAGGCTGCACCTAGTACATTATAAAAATTCGGATTGTGTTCCCACTATTACCCTGTTACAGGATTCAGTCTTGCTACAAAGAACAATTGTATTGATCATGAACCCAAAATCATTGTTTCCAATTGTAACTTCTCAGTCTTTGTTTGATAGTCTTTTCCTACCGTTTCATGATGTTCAAAACTGAAAAGTTCAATCAAAGTGCAGTATAAATATTACATAATAAATAACAGATGATAAATGACTACTAAAAATTGGGAGGTATCTCCAAAAGTGGGGACTGATTTCTGCACTGGAATGGAAACATGGAGATGCTGGAATCTTACCTTTGTTAGGATAAAAAAATAGCATATTTGACACATAATGTTCTATGATTCTATGAACATTATGGTCGGAAGGGACCTCAGGAGGTCATCTAGTCCAACCCCCTGCTCAAAGCAGGACCACCCCCAACTAGATCAGCCCAGCCAAAGCTTTGTCTAGCCTGATCTTACACAGCTCCAAGGATGGAGATCCCACAACCTCTCTGGGTAACCTGTTCCAGTGTTTTACTACCCCCTTAGTGAGAAAGTTTTTCCTACTCTTAACTTCCCTTGCTGCAACTTGAGACTATTGCTCCTTGTTCTTTCATCTGCCACCACTGACAGCATCCATTTTCTTTGGAACCATCCTTCAGGTAGTTGAAGGCTGCTATTAAATCCCTCCACTGTCTTCTCTTCTCCAGACTAAATAAGCTCAGTCCCTCAGTGTCTCCTCAGAAGTCATGTGCCCCAGCCCACTAACCATTTTTATTACCCTCCTCTGGACTTTCTCCAATATGTCCACATCCTTTCTGTAGTGGGGGCTCAAAACTGAACACAGTACTCCAGATGTGGCTTCACCAGTGCCAAATACAGGGGAATAATCACTTCCCTTGATCTGCTGGCAATGCTCCTCCTAATGCAGCCCACTATGCCGTTAGCCACCTTTACAACAAGGACACACTGTTGGCTCATAAATTTTTATTCCTAAATTAAAAAAATAAAGGCAATCTTTCTTACATTCAATATGTGTTTACATGTAATTGCATATGCCTGTGTATGAAATATGATAGCAGCTTGAGGTCATGAATGAGATCAGCAGTGGATTGAGCTAGCCATATACATGCAGTAAGAGATCATTCATTCCCCATAAACATTTACCACGTAACAGATGAGATGAGATCAATGGTCAGAAGGAAAATAGTGGAGAAGTAATTTTCCCAAGATTATCCAACAGGTAACTGGCAACATGGGAATAGACTCTAAGCCTCTTAATTCCCAGTACAGTGCCCAGTACATGAGACATCTTGTCTCTCAAATTAAACAACAGATGTGTTTTTGTAATGCAATTAAAAGTGGGTGCTATCTGCTTCTCCAGGCAGACACAAAGCTGCAGTTTCTGTTGATTTCAACTGGAATTTGCAAGCCCAGCACTTCTCAAAATCAGATCCTCAATAGATAAAATAAGAGCTTTTCCTCTATTCCACACTATTCTAACCATTATTTTAGCATAATGGCTTCCCCTCCCTTCTGCTCTCCCACCAAAACTATCAGTTTTCTGGTTTTGATTTGTTCTGTTCTATTCTTCTGTAAATTATCACTGGTTACTGCATCCACCTGTGCTGAGTTCTCTTAACTCAGTTATTACTGAACTTATGTTTCCTCTTTGTTTTTTTAACTTTGTATTGATCTATTATTAGATAATAATACATTATTATTATCTAATAATATTTATTATTTGCTAATATCCAAGCCACATAGTTGGTCCAACAAGAGATGCCATTCAAAGAAATCCTTGCTCTTCCCATAATTTTTGGACCATCACAGCTACAACATCACATTTATGCTATCTAATTATTACTAATGATATTATTATGTTAATGATCAATTGATCCCAGTTTGCTACAGTAGTTCAGCATGGGCCTGACTTTCCACATGTATAAACATCTTCTAAAATTCATCCTATCCATCCTTTTGACTAAATCCCTGGCCTGTGCCTTGACTATAGTCCTCTATTGCCTTGACTATAGCTTGTCCAAAATGCTGCTGTGAAAATGATCTTTTCCTACTATTTTGATATTACTGCTCCCCCTGATTAAGTCCCCTGCTTTCTTGATCTGGCATACCAGGAGGGCAATAGTTTGAGGGGGGGGAATGTTGTTGTATTATTGATATTACTAGTATTATACTGGTTATTAGTTATTTTGACTCTGTTTATTTGCTTCAGTTTCCCCATTTGCAAAACAGGGTAACAGTTCCTCTTCAGTAAAAAGCTTTGAAACTATAAATTAAAACAGTATACAAGAACTAAGTACTTCATGATTATTGTATTGTATTTAGATGCAGGAAGTATCAGGTAAAACCTTCTGGCCCCTCATGCAATGGGGCCTGCTTAGCAGTCATAATATGGTTTCTCTAGTCTTAACATCCATAAATCAATTATTATCTTCCTTGTGCTTTAGAAAGCATCAGAAATGTGCAGGTCACCTGGGAGACACCAAAATACCATCAGTTTATAGCAGCAGGTATAGAGATTTCTATATGATCTCTCTCTCTCTCATAGAACCTGGATATTTTGTGGGGTTAGGTTTTTACCCTCCCTACAAAGTAATTGGGATGGTATACAAAGTTTCAGCAAAAACCTCTGTGAAAATCCCAGAGGTGCTTTAGCTGTTTGCTGCAACTCTTATTTCTCTGATCAGCTGTATGGGATCACCAGTCAGCTTCATCTGATGAGAGAAGTGGCACCCTTTGAAGGAAAGGTCCTAGGAATCAGCTGAGTGGCTTGTCTTTAACTCAGCAGCCCACTGTAAATTAAGTAGGTCAAGAACCACCCAGATATGGATAATCTGGGTTCTACTGTACATATAGATTTGTACATTGTCCTGTCTTTTTATATTGTACTTTTTATATGTCCTCTATACTGTACATATACATTTGTACATTGGTTCTGTCTTTTTAAGGGCAGGCTGGATTCCTGCCAATCACGTCCCATATTCAGGGTATTCTAGAAACTGTACTTCCCAGAGAGATACCTGAAAATTGAAGGTGTTTTATGATAGAAAAGGTAGCAGGATGCAAGACCCAATAATCCATGAGAGGGGATCTTGAAGGCCAACTCTGCACATCATAACACAAATTAAAAACAGGTAACATATGTTGGGGCTCTTTTCTAAATTAGCTAAGCAAATGGCCATGGTGGCAGTAGACGGGGCATCTTTCTGCACAAAGGATCTTTTGGTCATAGTTCTCCATTTAATGTCCACAAACACAAGGGGAATTCACACGCAAAAGCTGTGTGCAATCCAGTTACTTTCTCTCTTCATGAGAAATCATCAAGCACTTAGTTGCACTTCCCTGAACTGGTTGATTCTGGTGAAAGTAAAACTGCAAATTTTCTGTTGTATTTTAGGTCAGTGGTACTGGTATCTTGGAGAGTGGTAGATTGGAGAAGCCAGGCCTGTGCTGACCCTAAACAACTGTAGTTAACAAATTGCTTTGTTTCAGAAAGAAAAAGAAAATCCTGAGTTAAATTTCTTGACTTTCAAAATTGCTTAATTTCTCGCTCTTATAATTCAGTAAATAAACTTGTGTGCAATACAGAAT